CTCTGGCCCCCCGGGGCGGTGCTTCTGACAAAGGAGGGACATTAATATGATCTTTTGCTCAGTAGAAGTGTTAGTGGGCTGATTCATCAATGTCATGCCCATAACTGTGCATGAACTGCAACAGGGAACTGCTTCTTTTTCTATCCTAATCCTTACTATCGTCATTTTTCCTCCACTTTTTTGTATGTTTGTCACACTCTTGTGACCCGCTATTTCCGGAGTACATTTATATTCGAAGCAAACTTGGTGCTGTTGAAGCTAGAGTTGTGATCAGAGTAAGCCTGATTCCCTGTTAGGACTTCTCTGTTGACATCCACCCCTTGGCGCTCATATGACCTTATGCAGTTGCGAGCGCCGTAAAAACTGTACTAAAACTTTAAAAAACCGAAACAATTTAGATCGTTTAGGAGGCGGGCTTCAACTCTGCCTGTCTGGGATAACCTGGGTTGACAGGGACACAAAGTTCTAGCAGATAGACGGAGATAGATACTCGGTAAAGATTCCCCGCTCATGGGAATCGAATTAGAGTCTTCTGCAGATGACAGCGAAAATAGCCTAACTGCTACTCCGGTCAATGATACCGGTCACCACTGAAGTTGGGGGGTTTGGTTGAGGGGTGGGGGCTCTCGTAGCCTAGAGGTTAAGGTGTTCGCCTCCCATTCAAAGCTCCCGGGTTCGAATCCGGGTAGCGACAGAAAACTTTTCTTCTCTAAAATTGTCTCCTTTCTCCTCCTTTCCTGCTCTCTAACAATGTTCTGTCGTCTTCTTTCGTCTCCACTCTCTGCCTCCACCCCTTCACTTCCTTTGCTCTCTCCTCTGGGCTCCTGACTCTTCCTGCAGCCTCGCTACTGCTGCACCTTGGCTCCTTCCTACTGCTGTCTTTCAGCCACACCCCTGATCTTACGGTAGGAAAATTTACACCTAGCCTTCTCGGACAAGGCCGAAAAATCTCGGAGGTCCCGTGTGCAAGTTGTGCACGTTAAAGACCCCTTAATGGTCTAAATTCGATAAGAGTAGGCTTCGGCTGCCATCCGGGCAAAATTCTAAGTTTCCTGCCAACTGAAATAATGTCTAATGTGTCCCGCGTGCTCATATGACCTTATGCAGTTACGAGCGCCGTCAAAACACTTACCCCCCCCAAAAAAAAGTTGGGTTTTCTTGATGCGCATCCTTTCTCAGTGAATCAAACAAACAAACTAACAATGTTATTTCATCGTCTTCAGATCCTACGGATTTGAGCCGGTGCCCCCCACACCTGGCCCGTACACGTTACCTGCGGGCCGCCCACGACTGGGACATGTGCTACGAGTTCCATCTGGAGGAGAGGACCTGGAGGACGGCGCTCACTCTGTGTGGGAGGAGAGGGGGGACACTGGTCACTATACAGGAGGCCAGGATACAGGTGGGTACTGTGTGTGTG